GTGGCCGGAGGAGGGGCAGTGTCCACATTGAGGGGTTCTTCACTCATCGCTTTTTGCACCTGTTGAGTGAAGCTGGACTCATCAACATCCATTAAACCCGGAGAAGAAGGCTCGGGCACGATTTCCCCTTCCTCTTCTGGTTCAGCTATAATGGCAAAAAGAGAAATAAGACGCTATATTCAAAGGTGAGATATAAAAAAAAGATGATGAGATCTTACCTTCTTCATTAACTGGAAGATCCTGAGTAAACTTCTCTTCAAATAACGGAGAAAGTTGACGTTGTCGATGAGCCGTCTTCTTAATCCTCTTTGAAGCACGAGAATCTTGAGGAACCTCAGAACTCTCATGTCGAAACTTGGTACGCAGTTCGGTTCTTTGAGCCGGTCGAGGTTAAACTTCAACAGGAGCAGTAGGTCGGGATCTCTTCCTGCTAAGAAGCGGGGCAACGTCTTCTTCCTCTTCTTCCGCTTCTTCCTCCCGCGCGGGCCATTGAACAGTCATCTTGTTGGAAGTCGACAAAGGAATGTTATTTTCCTTCATCTGTATACCTTTTGAAGGAATACTCGGTGACGAGGGTGAAGAAGCCCGACGAGTTCTGTAGGCCACAGGAGAAGGAGGAATATTAATCTCCGTCTCATCTTCCTCACTGGATGTCTCGAAATCGTCGCTCTCTTCGGAATCAGCTGCCCGTTTTCCTTTGCGGGAAGATGTAGCAGGTTCCTTTCCTTTTCTAGATATAATTCTCCGAACCACAGCTTCGGATTCCAGTTCGGAAAGCTTCTTCTTCGCAAGAGGAGTATTGGCGGCTAAAATCCACCGGCAATAAACAAAGGTCGTGTGGAGTTCAGGCTCAGCGACGGGCAAGCTAAATTGAGCTCCGGTACAGCCAGCAACATTCCAGAACCAGGCTCGTACTCCATCAATGAGGCTCCCGCAGGTTATCAACCATCTGTTGGGATTCCCGACGTACAGTTGATCGTAACCAAATTGGCGCGCAAAACGGCAAGGAAAATAAGGCTCAATCCTACAAAGGTTCTTCGACCGAAAAACATTATAGACTGGGTGAATGTTCATGAGCCAATGGAAGCTACCCACATCGAGAGAAGTCCTGTTAGCTCCAGGCATTTCCTCGTCAACGAGTGTATCATTATAGGCACCGGAAAACTGAGGGAAACACTTGTAAAATTCCCAGCACTTGGCATTCTTGAATTGCCTCACCCGGTCAATCCACGGTCGGGAAGGATATAACCACTTACATCCTTCTAAGAGCTGCAACAAAGGGATTGCTGGATCAGACGCGTCAGGTGCTGACATCATGTCCGCTCGATGGAGAACTAGCCACGCCATTAAATACGTGTACGGCAATTCGACACTCGACAATGGAATTTTAGTTGAAGGCTCAGCACCCACTTTGGTAAAAGTGGTAGATAGGTTACGAAAACCGCTATGGAGGTCAGCGATCATAGCGGAGAGTAAGGATAACCTACCCCCAACAGCTAATTGCACGGCGGGAAGAAGAACCTCAAGAGGAAGCGCCTCGGAAGACTGATGCGGCACTACACATCTATTTAGCCATATGGCCAGATAACCAGAAAGAAGAGTCACAGGCTTCATTCTCTTGGTGGCTTGCCATAAGAAAGTGCTGAATTTAGTGCCCTTAAGAAAACCGCCTTCAGATGACTCGGTTCTATAAGATTGGGCATTAATCTTCGTAATCAGCCTGTTAACGTCCGAAGGGGTCAGAATCGGTGATTCGCAGACAGCTTCACCGTTCGGGCTCTCGAGATTCTGAAACAAATAGTCAGCGAACTGTTTTAAACTAACTCGAGCTGCCTTCTTACTCTTTACTTCAATCTTGGCTATCGCTATTTGATAGTGACAAGTTAATTCCCAGAATATGTCATAAGCAGGAGAGCCAGCCTTCTTCATCTTCATGAGCTGACGATTGTTGGGAAAATATTCTTGATAAGGAGTGTTCCCCAATGGCAGTCCAGATACTTGCATCATTTCGTGGAGCGGAAGCCCTAACTCCCCATACTTGGTAAGAAATGTATTGGCCTCCGGAATATAAGACTCAAACAAAGCAAGGAAATGATCTACGCTAACTGGAAGACCATGCATGCTGGCTCGGATCGGAGCATATAACCCCAAATTCCTTAACTCTTGATCCCAACGATTGAGTACATACTTGGTCATCCTAGCCCACCATTTGTCGGGAAGAGAATGAACCCATCCATAACACCTGAATTTTGGAATGAGAAGTTCTCGACCAACTCGAGCGAGCTTATTCTTTACCGTGTTGGCCCTTATCATTAGTTCATTCTGGGGCCCGCCATCTGGTCCAAATAGCCCCGGGTGAAGACCACGAATATTATACCTACCTTTGGAACCAGGAGCACTAATATCTTTACTAATGTATCCGCAATGAACGCGCTCGTGGTCTTCTGTCAAGTGCCACGTCATTTCTCTCGAAACAGCCAAATTCCTCAATTGTAGAAGGGAATACTGTCGAGGAAATGGAGGAAGGAATAGAAAAGAACCTTCATGTTCATTCAACCAAATTTCAGGGCCACGGCAAAGATTGTCTGGATCTTCTATCGAATCTCCGAACAGATAATCAGTCTTCTTCAACGGTTCAGTAGAATCTCGAGTTGGAGTTAAGGGTGAATCAGTCAGCAGAGCGCGTAGGGTACGACGACTTCCCTCACGAACCAACTCTAGAACACTATTATCACGATCTTCACTAAATTGGCGAGCCTCTCTAACCAGAAAGTCGCCATTGAAAGAAGCGTGAAGAGTACCACTCTGACCCGGGTCTTCTCTCTCAGAGAAGGCCACAGAGGGAAAGGGGACTGCAATAGAAATTTGGAGAACAGTTAAACGAAAAAGGCTAACGGACAAGTAAACCCGCACTAAGTAGCCGCGGTGGTTGTTGCCGTCGCGCGTTACCGCGGCAGCCTATACTGTCGCGCTCAGGCACGACAGCACGAGCTGCCGCGGTAACTGAACTACAGTCGTCGATGTTGAAAAGCCTCTAGTTCGATAAAAAATCGAATTTTGGCATGAGTACATATCTTGATTGAACAAGATATGTATTTTGAAGCATCAGTCCCCTCGAGGGGGGATGTCAACTCTTCCCGAATGCCTCTCAATGGAGACAAACGAGGCTATATGCGCAGAATCAGTAATTTCATATAAAGGGAAGTTGAAGAAACTTACCCCCAAGAGAAGGAATGGCAGCCTCGACCTCCTCAAGTGCTGATGTCGCCGATTTCCCCTTCGAAGCGCGAGTCTTCTTTGGAGACATAGTGAAATCGACCTAAAGAATCAAAAATCAGGTTTTTTTTTGTGAGATCCCAAACAAAAGAGCGAAATCAAACCCTAAAACATGACATAGGGGTACGGTTCTTACCAGGGGAGAATAGAATCAAGTTTGATTAGAGGGAAAACTTGAGATCAAGGAAAAAAAAACCCTAGATCTTGTTCAAAGAGGAATCGCCCAAATGCTAAGAGATGAAGAGGGGGAAAGCCAGGAAAATCCCTTTATAGGGTTTTGAAGAGGTTTCGAACTCAGAGAGGCGGGGAAAAGTGACCCGAAGAAGCCCAACATCAGATTTATAATCTGACTGGCCGAAGCGCTGCGCGGCACTCGACACTATCGCGCTCTAGCGCGACAGTCTATGTTGCCGCGCTCAAGCGCGACAGTATAAACTGTCGCGGCAGCTAACACACCATGGTTCATTCTGTCTTGCAGAAACACTGTGCATGCACGATAATTCTTCGACGTTTGAACATAGACATCTCCTGCTGTATTTGGAACACATACCCGAACACTCCGATGAGTATATGAGTATAAACTGCATCTCCTTGAACCTCCCAACGGGTATATGAGGTTAAACTGTTTCCCGAACACTCCAATAGAGCATATGAGTATAAACTATTTCTCCATTTTTCAACAACAGTTCTGATTCAAGACTTCGACGACGGGCACGCGATAAACGCAGCACCGGAGGAATCTTAGCTATTCTACAAAGCATTGAGTAGACTAAGAGATAAAGAAGTCAAGGATTGAAGCCATTCACAGACCATTCTACGCAATTTCCTCAACAAAGAACTGGAGAAATTGCAGGGAAAGCCTATCATATCCAAAGTGTCCCAGACTCCTCTCTAAAAGAAATGATGAGTCTGAGATACTTTGGAGGGGGTATCTGTAGGCGTCAAAAAATACTTGCAGACATCCAAATACCATTCAAAACAACATGCGAGAACAATTTATTCGTCATCAGGCAACACAAGGTGGCGCGGCAACTCATGGTGTCGCGGCTAAGGCGGTTATTTCGCCCCCGTTTCAACTGTTGTGCACTCCTACCCCTATAAATATCTCCCTACACACGAGATAAGAGAGAGAGCATTTTGGAGCAGAAGAGGTTTGAGCTTTCAGTGATTTTGAAGAAGAGAGAGAACTTTCACCCTTTGACAAGCATCATTCGGTGATTCCTAGAGATCTAAGCTCAGACTTGATCTTTGGAAGAACGGACATCTTACATCGATAAGATATCCGTTTTCAAATCTTTACTTCGATAAACGAAGGAGAGATCTCTAAGCACCCTCACGATCTTTGAATCGGTGGTCAACGAGCCAAAGCACTCACGGCACAGGCAAAGTCCCACAAAAACAGTAGTTGATAAACGACTTCTGTGTTATTTTCTCGAAAGTTGTAATTTTGTTTATTTTTCATTGTAACATTCTGTAAGCAATCGAAGTTTAATGGAATCTGCAATGGAAACGACTTTCGCTGAAAACAGTTCCCTCGACATTTCAGTCCTAGAACTGATGAGAGGAAGAGTGTATATTTTACTTCGATGAAATATATCACTTTCGATTCTTGTTTCCTTTGAAAAATAAGAATTTCACTATCTATTCTAATTTTCTTTGAGAAACAAGAATATAAATGTTGACTTGTGCTTTTGTGATAACAAAAGCCAAGATTATCTCTCAGGTGATATCGCTTCCGCGGCGTGAGGGCGTGACTCTGCGCCCAACAAACTCCCAGTGCCCAAAGCCAACGCTCAAGTCTTGGTGCACTTATTCATACCGTCCTTGCTGCCTCACCTGTGCCTGTTGGCATCAGACAGATATAATATTTTTTTGTTTTTAACTTCGAATCTGGTGAATAACAAAAAATATATAATTCAAGTGGGTAATTTTCTATGTAGAAGAAATGACAAATTTCTTTTTAACTGCAAACTTCTTTTAGGGTAGATTTAAAATAACGCCATGGACTTTGAGATTTTTGCACAAAACTTTCATTAAATTTTTTTTAACAGAAGTGAACTTTCAAAACTACACAAACATATAATAAAATATCGGGATTATTAATGTGTTAACGCCTTGGATTAAAGGTATAAACAACATGGTAGTTTAGTAAAAAATACAAAAGAAAAATGTCCAAAAAAATTATCTGCTAAGCACGTGACAATAAGATGTAATACATGGTCATTTAGTAAAAAAGTTCATGGTAATTTCCTCTAATAAAAGAGTGTATGGCAGTTTTTTGCAAAAGTGCCAAGTTTGATCGAAGTTTTGAAATTTTGCCTTTGCAAAGACATTTAGGACAGTACTTCTAGTTATAAGAATGTTCTAATATATGTAAAGTTTAATTTATACACTTAATATCCTAACTAGAGACTGATGTACTTATTGGCCTACATTGCATATTGTCAACTGGTTCGCCCTAATTTTATCATCAATTGGACCAACCTATAACTTCTTATGGATACGCTAGTCTTCTCACCCTACCTCCCACACAATCATCTCAAATTTTCCATTTCTGCTAAATCAATTCTTGGACATGTTTCTTAATTTTTATATATTCTAATACATCAAATATTGCTGGTCTTAAAGCCACTACTTCCTTGATCTCATGTAACCATTACAATTAATGATGTTACTACTGCAAAAACTTGACATTAACAGAAATTATAGCGGCACTTACTAGCAACCAGCTGACCCTAAGATAAGGAAAAAAGAAAAAGCAATATAGAGCAAGCTTATGTGTATGACAAATCTCTAAAACTATGTCAGGACTGAACTTAGCCTAGTTTTGGATGCTTTTTTATTTGGCAAAAAACTAGACCAAAGTTGGTCCAATTTTAATAGGTCAAAAATGCCCACTAAACTGGTTTTAGCTTGGACCACCCTCCCTTGGTCCAAGTTAAAACCCGTTCAAGATAAAACTGAGCTAGGATTGATCCTTACCCAATTTTTGATACATTGCCAAACACACTAACTTCATAACAAAATGATTGGAGAACAATCTCCAGCTAAGAACACCTTCAGTTCTTTGAATTTCATTTGGTTAAATTTTTGTTAAATCATTTTCTGTTCCATGAATATTTTTCATTTGCCGGTAAGTGGTCAAGAATTTAAATGCACCAACTAGAGGTAAAAAGATTATAATTAACAACGAAAGCAATACTAAATGTAGACCTAAAAGAACCCGGTTGGAAGTAGTTAACAAGGATATGCCAATGATTAACTTAGTGGAGTAGATAGCCTCAACAGAACTAAACGAATAGTAGGATTCATGTAGTCACACCCACATTGTGTTATTGTTGTTAGAATATAAAACTATAACGCTCAACCCTCACCATAACTTTAGAGTTTTAGTGTAATGGTTAGAGCGACTTTTAAGATGACACCATAGCAACCCAAGTTTAAATCCCACTGGCCACAAATTTAATGCGGATTAAAAAAATTGATATCACCGCGTGAGTCCATGTTTCAGCCTATAAAAGGATATTCAACATACAGGGGCATGTTAGAATATAAAACTATAACTCTCAACCCTCACCACAACTTCAGAGTTTTGATGTGGTTGGAGGGACTTTAAGAATGTCAAAAAGTGGTCATGGATGTTTTGAGATGTTTGATCTATTCCCCGAAATTAAAAGATTAATATGAGGGCAAAAAAGCACATACTTCAAAGCGATCTCTTGCAGGTCTCTTGGGTAAAATCTCTTTGTCAGGGCCAGATGCGATATCAAGAGAGTGAGCGAGAACACTTGAAGAGGGAAACCACTTTTGGGTGTTCCACCCTCTAGCAAACTGCTGATTAAGAGCATCAGTAGATACATTGGATGGGAAATTATGCCACCAGTAGTAGGAAGCTGGAGCTACCATTGCTACACCTGCAAGCCTGCAATTGGTCAAACGTTCACCCTTAGAAGAAATGGTGGTGAAAAGTACACAACGGATCAGAAGTAATATTGATAAATGCAGTCCCTATATCTTCAATAACATAGTGATTTTTGAATATTTCTTAGTGATTAACCTGGTCCCTAGTTATATGCTGCTTATAAAATTGTCCTGAGGAAAACCACAATATGGATAGAGCACTATATATTGGTATGTAGGAACAAACAAAAAGTTAAAGCATATGTGCGTAAATGTGTTCTCTAGAAGATGTTTGCCTGTCCATGGATGCAATACTATACGTTATTTTGATTCTTTTATTCTTTTATGTAAATTAGTTCAATGGATAATTAGGAAATGTTAAAAAATTATATTACAGTTCAAAACAAATCTGCGTTGTGTGTATATTTTGAGTCCCGTAAATTATGTCCAAAATATTTAAGCAAAGAATTGCCTTTATGTATCTTATCATGCATTTTGTTCTCACTATGTTCTCTATGTTTACATTAGTTTTGACTTTTGACATTTAAACTCTAGCAATTTCTGAAGTTCTACAAGGCGCATTTCTTCTTCCTCATTTTTGTTTTTTTCCTTTCTAGTTTTTGCTCTTCTGAGAGGTCATGTACAGTTACTATCAAATTCATTGATTTTTTCAGATGCTTCGTAGTTCATAGCAGGCTAAGTTTGTTATCAAAGTCACACCTGTGAGGGATATATTTCAGGCAGCCCCAAGCAAATCCTCCTCCCATAGGAAATCCAGTAACAAAGAACTTCTCACCTAGCTCTAATTGGTCAGCGAGCTCTTCAACATCCTGTGCAGTGCTTTTGACAGACGTACTTGGGTTTGGATCACTCTCGCCATACCCAGGTGTGTCATAAGACAACATGTAAATCCCTAATTCATCCACCAGTTCCTGAAAACCTTTATCATCAACAAATGTGATGAAAAATCAAAGAAAGCCAAAGAAACTAACTAATAAAGTAGGTAAATTTCATAGAAACCCCCACAATATCTTGGGGTGTTTCCTGCAAAACCTCCCAATACTTTGTTTTCCCCCGCATAACCCCCATAGTGACTAAAATGCCCCTCAGGCCATAAAAGTCATTTTTATTGATTAATTTTTTTTTCAAAACAAACCCTCACAGTGGGCATATTTGTAAATAAACCCTCCTCTCTCCTCCTCCCCCTAATCCATACCCCAATCATTTTTTAATTAAATTAATCAAAGAATGACAAAGGATTTTTTGCCTGCAGGGATTTTAGACATTTTGGGGGTTATGTGGGAAAAGTTTTTGGTGTTTAGTGGGAAAAAACAAAATATTGGGGGTTTCGTGAAATTTACCCAAATAAAATCACTGCAAGAATGATGATATGTGCCTAAGAGATGGGGAAAACATCATTCTTGCACGAATCACATCCATGGAGAAAGACGATCTTATACATGGCCTTCTCCCTTGGGACTCCAGTCTCTATATAAGAAAGATTTCTTCCGTTTCTGAGCTTAATTCTTGAAGTTGTGAGAGGAGGCCCATCTGAAGATCCACAGATTTTAGAGGGTGGAGGCTGAATTGCCTGATTTGACAAATGCAAGCAATCCCGCCAGCAAAACAACTGATAGTTTTGTGAGGATTCCCGATATTCCAAAAGTTTGAATAAATAAGATTTCAGAACAAAAAGGAGCACATGACTAAGAGAACAAAGCTTGAACATTTGACATGCTGAAATTATATGCGAAAATCAAGTGGTAAATAGCAAGGTTAACCCTCACCCTCCCTGACAAAACCCCAAAATTGTGTGTGGATAAAAAAGAAATAACAAACTGACAAGAATGATGAATGTAAATAAATAAGTCAAAGACAGATTCATACAGTAATTGTATATTAGATAATATATTCACATGGTTTCGGAGTAATAACTTTAAGAGAGTCTAGAACTACAACGAAAACAGAACTCATTAAACACACCTTTCACTGCAGTCTAGAAACGAAACAAAGTCATGCAAGTGACCTGGGTTCAAATCCCATTAGTACCAGGTATTTGCACGGACCAGGGCCAAAAGGGAATTTGTGACAGACAAAAAAATCGTTGTTAAGAACTTAAGAGAAGAAAGCAGATGACTGTGGAGTTAAGATGTTAAATCTATAACGACTGGTGGGAGGAAGCTTTTTAATTCCAAGAGTAAAACAGTCTAAAACATGACACATGATAACCCCAAAAAAGAGTCTGGATATCAGTTCTGAAGATGAATTGCAATATAATTTTTCCTGGATATGTCACATGCTTTGATCTTTTGATACTTGTTGTGATATGGAGTGCATAGATGCAAGTTTGAGATGAAGATCTTTCTCCAGAAGAAAACAATTATGTCAAGAAAAAATACAATATACTTATTAGAACTAAGAGTATGATAGGATGAATGCTCTCTCATTTACGTATGTCAATGCCAAGGGCGGTCAAAGAAATTTAAAAAGAAGCAAAGAGTAGTTTCATTTTGAGCTAAGTTCTAATATACTTGGTCAACTTCCCAAGAAGATGCTCTACCTACATTTGCAGAATTCTGTTTACACATTTGCAATAGGCTCACCTTATACAATGATAATGTTTCAGCATGGATCATTGTTGAAAAATTCTCTTGTCCACATGTGTCGTTAAAAACATATCAGAACTCGTAAAGGCTCGTTATGGGACCTTATCTATGAGAACAAGCATGGATCGATCTAGGTCAACATTATTATCCCCCAACTTATCCTTGTAGCTTTACTTGAAATCCACCTTAACATTCTTGTTTCCCTCCAAAAATACATAGCCTCCCTTCAGTGAGAAAATATTCAATAATATTTTACTATCTTAAAACACTCACTCTGTATTACTGCATATGTCAAAGTTACATAGGGAGGACTTTCTTGTGACAATGCGGATTGCATGTTTGAGCTTATGGCAGCACAACAGAATAGTTTGGTTGCCATAGTTTTATAGTATCTGACAGAATTCACAAAACTCTTCTGCTTTCACTCCTAGACTCTACTTGCTTAAAAAAACACCCATCTCAACGTTCTAATTTCCCTAAAAGATTCATGTTAATAGCACTTGCGAGTGATAGGGATACATTGTTCCTAATTTTAGAGGAATTTACTCAAGTAGGACACACTCAAATTGATCTATTAAAAAGATAGCAGAATCATAACAAAACTAGAGGGAATCTTTCAAGACCCTAGAGACAGAAAAATGCAACAAGGGGAACCTTAACCCCCCCACCCCCACCCCCAACAACCCCCAAAAAAAATTAATCGCTTCTTAAACGTCACCAAATCCAACAGATTAAATAAAACCCTACAAAAAATCATTAGAGGTCATAACATACAGAAGATCACAGTGTATGCAGCTCTGTTTCTGCCCTTAAGTTTTCAAATGAAAAGCTAATTGTCTCAATTACAACCAGGGCATCAAAATTAAACTCCAAATCTCCACAAATAGGTAAAACCCATTTCCTGAAAGGGCTAAAGACCATGTAACCTCATTATACAAAGTTCAAACTACCCAATTAAAGGAATTGGGTTATATTTCGAGGTACTAAAATATGAAAGATTATAACGCATGCAGCTGTTATCAAAGGCGTGTGCCTCATTACGCCTCATGTGCCCTGTGATGTGGGACGGTGCCGAAGCACCCCACATTTGAGGTGGCAGAGCCTTTTTGCGCCATGCAAACGTCATGCGCAAGGGTGCTTCACACAGGGCGCGTGCAAGGCATGGACTCATATAGTTATGTTCTTTAACATTTCATATGGGTCTTTACCCATGCAATCCATATCCCAAAACGGAAAAAACTCATTTGGCCACTGTAGTAGCCTAATTGAGGACCCTAACTCATTCTCATTTACTATTTAATTTTTCTTCAATATTAGTCTTGATTTGACTTTTGATTTGGAAAATTATGAACTTTACTACTATATTGGGTAGGGTTGGGCATGGGTCAGGTCGACCCGTGGGCTGATCTGACCTAGTCCGTCATGGGTCATGACCCAGCCCGACCTGTACTTGACCGGGACCGACCTGTACTTGACCGGGACCGACCTGGCCCATGATATACTCGGGTCACGGGCCGGGTTGAGCCTAGTCCAACCCTAAATCCCGGATCAGAGAAGTAGGCCCTGCTCACGCCCGGCACATGATATATTTTTTGGTTAGGCTAGCTGTTCCTTTAGCCTTTTAAGTCTGCAGCTAGCTGCCAACAAAGCCAAAAGGCTATAAGTCTTTAGCTTGTGGACCTTTTAGCCCATTGAAAAACAAAGCAGCGATCTTTAAGCTCGATGTTCCTTGGAAGGATTAAAAAGTTTAATACAAGTTTAAAAAATGTAATACAAGTTTAAATTACTAAAATTTAAATTAGAAATAATTTTATAATAGTAAATACAAGTTTAATATAATTAAAAAAGAAAAAAAGGAAAAAATGTTAGACGAAAAACCTATGGGCCAGCACACGACTCACTG